GGCGCGAATGATATACAGTACGTGGGACGGAAATATAGTATAAGAAGAAGCGCTAATATCTTAGCTAGCAGTCTTCACTCAAAATGCCATCTTTTTGTGCGGTGTACGGTTTTAGCACCGTGCGAAGAGAGAGAAAGACAAGAGTTTCTTCCACGTTCCAACTGTGGTCTCATATAAAGGAGTACATTTTGAAAGAATCACTAGAATGAGGCGGGCGAGGTGGATCAAGGCTTTCCCAGATAACCCCTTTGCAGGCCACCCAAATGACTCTTTTGAGTAATATTTTTTAGTACTCCCTTAGAATTGAGTGTCCCCCTCCCGATTAAGACTGTTACAACAACCATACACCACACAGGCAGAGGCGTCCCATACCATTAGGCAAGGCAGGCAGCTGCCTGGGGCCCCCAAACTGGCAGGGGGCCCCCGAGGGCCGACTGATTTGACACAAGTGGTTGACTTGTACAGGCTACAACAGCTACAAGGGCCAATCTTTCACTTGGCCCTCAGTGTTTATATAGGACAAAAGGATAGAACCCAAATGCACTGGACGGTCAACAGGATTTATTGATAGGAGTATAATGAAGGTGGAAAAGGTATGGGCGGGCAGGAACTGGAACTGGCATTGGCACTGGAGCGGAATGGCAGAGGAGATACCGGTGAGCAGGCTGGCAACTGGCACGAGACTCAGCGAGTATAGAAAAAAACAAGATCAAACGAGGATATCGTAAACGAGCACAAAAAATAGCAAAAGAAGCCTGAGGTGTAGTCTCACGGTTGTAGACTGACGATCTGGCAGTAGTGATGTGCTGAGCGTGCCGGGTCTTCAAAGCGTGTACCGAGTAAAAAAGGGGCGTATTTTTTTAGGCGTGGTTCGAGGCGTATGTGGTGACGTTCGAAGCCTCGCATAGCGGCCGCACCACGTCACGGTTCATATAGTGCTTCATATAGTTCGGAGAGTGCATTGCTTTGACAGGTGCTTTGTGATCCGCGGCACAATATAGCGTTCGAATCCTGGTTTACCCATAATACATTTTGTGTTGCAAAGTAAATGTATTTATTTATTGGGAATAAATGGTTTGTTGTGTTTAATTAATCCACCTCTTGGTAGTTTTTCCTCAATCACTTTCTGTAGAACTGTATTACTTTGGATGTGTTTGTTGTATCAACACAATTGACTGAAAGACTCAAATAGTTCATAGTTCATGAAGCATCATTTCAAACACAACACGTTAGACCATAGATTGTAAATATACATTTTAACATTAGATCTCACCCTTCATTGTAAGCACTTAAGAGTGTTATGTATTTTTTTGTCCACATGATGGCGTAGTGGAGCATGAATCACCTCGAGCCTTCAAACCATGGGCCGAGTAATAGGCTGCAAACCCTCAATGCATCATGGGGCTTCATATAGGCCTATTTCACGAAGACGTTACGAATGCGGAAGTAAATGAATAGCTGAGTTAAACAACTTCCGGTAGCTAACGACAGCAGCGGTGATGGCGCAAAGAAAAGCCCAAACTACCTCGAAGTGTTGGTGTTGTGTACCCCAGTGTAAAACCAACACACAGTCACAGCCGTACCTTAGTTTCCACCAATTTCCAACGGAGGAATGCACGCGATTGCTCTGGGTAAGAGCAATCCGAAGAGATGAGGGAGCTACTTTTACAGTTCGTCATGGTTGCACCTATGTTTGCAGTCTTCATTTTCTGGAAGATGATATTTATGTCACACCAATGGGTCGTCGGCGTCTAAAGAAGGGAGTAATTCCATCCAAATTTGCCTGGAACAACTTTAATGTCGCAAATCGCACATCTGTATATGAGCGAGCTAGCAAGAGACTGTGCGTCAATATCCGAGAAGAAACAACCACTAATGAAGGCGAGAAAGGCTTTGATGCTGCTGCTGATCACGACTATGCTGTTCCTCCCCCACCTGGTAGGTTTGTTTTTACCCTCTTATGAGTTTGTGAAACAGCTATAACAAATTGTAAAGCCTTTTGGCAAGTTTTAGTAGGGGGTATCCGTACCTGGCAGATATGACTTGTCCGTTTGAAATAAATGAGTCCTGAATTTTGTTATTGAATGTAAATTTCAAGGTCACAAAATTATAAGGAGGATCGCTGTTATTGTTTATCTCCGCAATATTTAATGGTTGTTTTGGTGAATGGTGGGAAAACAGCAGATTGCTTTTCAGGCGTGATGAGATGAAGCAATGCAATGTTTATGAACAATGTTTTGACCCACCTTTTAGCTATTATTATCTATTAAATACATAAGCATTGGCCACCATAGTTTGAGACATGACAAAATAGTGATCCTCGTCATTGTACACACTGAGCTCAAGTCAGCCCTACAGTGAAGCACAGACTTGGCCAGAGCTTAGCATAGTTATTTAGCCAGCCACTCCTGCTGCTGATTGACTTTCATATGATTTTGTTAAAGCAGCCCTTAGTGTGCAGGTTTTGTTTCTTCAGTGGATGATACCTATTCAAGGGAATTCTATTGACCATTCATTTAAAATAGGGGGGGGGGGGGGGATTATATTGTATTATAGCTGTTTCACACCACACACTCATTATTATTGTTGTTTAAATTATGTTTAAGTGTTACCCTTTTAAGAACAACTATACCTGGCCAAGATGGCTTATGTTGATACATGTTTTTGTGTTTCTTTTCAATTAATGCTATATTTGTGGTTGTTTCTAGGATCAATTGATGCACTGGTAGAAGAAAATCAGAGGCTGGAATCACAACTGCTGAAGCTACAATTACAAATATCTGAGATGACACTGCAACAGAAGCAGCCTTTATGCAAGCGCTTTTGTGCCTCTGATAGTGAATTTCGCTTTTATACCCGATTTCCATCAGAGGAGATCTTCATGGTGTTTTGGGAATCTGTGCACCCATCAGCATGTACACTGGTCTACTGGTCCAGGGCACAGAACATGGTCCCTGGTTATCGTAAACGTAAACTGCCTCTGATGAGTGTTTTCTTTTGCCGAATTGCAGCTGGACTCAAAGAAAAAGTGCTAGCTTCCATATTTGACGTCAGCCTCTCGACAGTGAGCCGTGTCATCATCACTTGGGCAAACTACTTGTTTCAAGTTCTTGGGGCACAGCCGATTTGGATGACGCGAGCTCAAGTTCAAGCAACAATGCCAGACAAATTTCGCCAGTACTGCCCCAATGTACGTGTGATTGTGAATTGTACTGAAGTGCGTTGCGAGGTACCAGCATCTCTCACCTTACAATCAGAAACGTTTTCCAACTATAACACCAACACTTTCAAGGGCCTGATTGCCATTGCTCCCTGTGGAGTTGTCACATTTGTGTCCAAGCTCTACACTGGTTCAATTTCAGACAAAGAATTGACTGAGATCTGGCCTTCTCCAACTGCTAAGTTGTGGGGATGAAGTAATGGCTGACAAGGGTTTTGTTATTGAGGACTTGTTGGCCCAAACTGGCGCGAGCCTAATCATACCTCCTTTCAAAACTAAAACACAACTGTCTGCTGCTGATGCCCATAAAACACAAGCAATTGCTCGCCTCAGAGTGCTGGTGGAGAGGGCAATACGAAGAGTGAAGGAGTACCACATTTGGGACTGTGTTGTGCCGCTGTCCCTGACTGGCACCGTCAACCAGCTGTGGGCAGTTTGTTGCCTGCTGACCCACTATCAAGGACCTTTGGATATAAAAAATGACAAGCCAGTGTGATGTTGTGTCTTTGTTTTAACTTGTATTGCACCGAAGCTGCATTTTGTTTTTTTGGGGGGGGGGGGGGGGGGGGGGGGGGGGGGGGGGAAGAGTACAAATTCAGCTCATATGATATAAACATAGCAATACCAGATGTTAATTTCAGTGTTCTTTCAAAGGTAAAATTAAACATTACCTAATCAACAGTTGTACTTATAGGACTTTGATATGCTAATTGCAGTTTTGTTTGCATCAATTGTGCCACTCGTGTTTGCCCAAAACAGAATGTGATTGTATGTACACTATCCTATCAAATCTGTGTATAGTAAAAGATAACCATAGACATTCAGTATTTTACTATAACTTTTACTTCAAAAATGTAATCATTGCCATTCACAAGAGGACATTTGACAAATAATTACATTTATTTACAGTGAAAAATAATACTGATAAATCATAAGGAACAAGTTTCAATTATTTGAGCTGTTATTTACAATGAGCTATTACTTAAAATATTTACATCATTACATTTACATTATCAGAACAAAACTAAGACAAAATATGGGAAAAGAACTGAACCCAAACCTGCCCCACATAAATCTAATACATATTTGACACATAAAATAATTGTTGCACAACTTCAGTTTCAAATTAAATTCACTTGGATTGTTAATGTCACATGTATCTATTCTATAATAGTACTAAAGAATAAAAAAAGACAACTCAAAGCACCCTGAACAGAAATCAACGCTCACTTTCCCCTAAAAGGACATGTATAAAAGTTTCGAAATAGAATTGGTCAAGTAGCTGCCTCATTACATTAATTGTGTCGTTGTCCTTCCAGATCCTTTGTACTGTTAATTGTGTGTCTGTATCTGTCACAAAGTCACACCATTCTAGCCCGCTGACTGCCAGCTGACCTTGTACCTGCCAGTAGTACTTGTGGCTTTTCTTGACAGAGAGATCTTTAGTCAAGTGCTTTACCTCAGAAATGTTGTTGGTGTCACAGCACTTGACTTCCACGAGACCAAATTGAGGATTTTCAGAGGGATCGTAGACCCTGCCATCAGGACTGGCTCCAAGGTGAGGGGCATCTGGATGTACAATGCAGCCGCAAGGATAGACAGATTCCCGTTTTCAGCATAGATCTTCAATATGCCTGCTTTCAGTTTGAGCCCTCTCTTCATTGCAGCAGTCTGGATGTTCCCTCTGAGAATACGGCACGCCAAAGATCTCGCTGTAGACTCACCTCGTACATGGCAGGCTTTCCTAAATCTGCTGGCTGTCAGTCTAGGGCGGCGGGCTTCAAACCACACTGGGCTGTTTGACTGCCCCCTGGTCTGTGCCTCTATGGCTGTAGATAACGCTGCGGTCACCTGTAGGCTCTCCATGTGGACGGATTGTGCATACGTAGGTACGAACACATGATCACTTTTGAACGAATAGCCCTCAACTGGCAGCGAAGGAAAGTCTGGAGCACCAAGATCCTTGACATATCCACCGGTGTCTTTTGCAGGATACTGATAGGATAGCACAGATCCATGAGGCACCAGACCAAATTTGGAGTCCACCATTGTCATTTCCTCAAGGCCAGAAAGAATCTTGCAGATTCCCAATTGGGGTTGTATGTGTTTTAGCTTCTCACCAATTGTCATCAAGTGCTGATCAGGGAGAGGACCTATGACACATTAGCCAATTTAGTTCAAAGCCAGGTATGGATTTATCCAATTGACAAAAATAGAATACAGAAATTAGTCTTAAAAGCTTCAAGTAACAATACAATTAGTTATTAATCACTTAATCTGCTAAATAATCTAACCTTATTCCATTCATAGTCCAATGAATAGACTAGAATATAGTTGTAAGATTAACTATAACTTGTCTTATAGTTAATCTTACAACTATAAGCCAAACATAGTTGTAAGATTAAATGTTTCATGGTATAAGGTTTTTATAATATTGTAAATTACCTGAATGTGCAGGATAAAGGGTTGATTTAACAACAGCCTTGGTTGCTTTCTTGAGCCTTGGTTTGCTCACAATCATTTCCGACACCGCTTCTGGCTTGATCCCCTGTATAAAATAATACAGTTAACTTAAATAGCTTTTATTTGCCACCTCATTAAAATATCCATGATTAGGATTAACCTGGGTTCGTGGTCTATGCCAGGTCTGCAGCTCTTCAGTGCAGGACAGATCAGCTGGAACCACTGGCAGCTTCAGTGTGCTGAAGTGTGCACTCTGATACAGAAGAGCCACCAGATGATTGCACAAAATCTTTCCGGCAGCACAAGAACAGCTGGTTGACATGACCACGGCTGGAACTATCCCAGATTGTAATGTGATCTGGAATGAAAAAGTAATAAGTCATAAAGCAGATATCACCTGGCACAACATAACAAGAGTCACAAGTGAAAACAGGATAAAAGCAGAACTCGTTGCAACAGCAACAACTGGGTATAAAATAAACTGAATGACAACAAACTGCAACCGCAGTTAGCTATTAATAACAACATGCCAGCATTATATAGTAAACCTGTAAGCAATGTGGTGGCTCACGCTTCCTCATGGACTTGTGGCAATGGGCTCGAACAGCCACCTCTCCAACTATTTCTGACACTATATACATTTTAAATAAAAGAAAAAACAGCACCTGAATATTGCACATTTTTTGGATTAGGCCATTTAAGAGCCTGCTACCATAAAATGACATTAAGGCAAATAGTCACATACACATGTCGTGACAGATAAAGTCATATCAACGTAATTTACCAAACTATTCTTTCTGGCCTTCCTGCTGCAATTTCTCCAGCCTATCTAAGAAATAATATAATATAGCCGTTGGCTTTTATCCTAATTACAAGCTAATGTTTTCAAACAACGATCACTCAAGTGGTGGATTTATTAGATAAAACTGTCTAGAGTATTTATACTTTGTAGTTTGGTGGCCATTAAAACCATTGGGTTGTGCTGTCGTTATGCTAATGTTAGCTCTGCGACAAGCCTAAAATGTTTACAGACAGTAGAAAGGTTCATACAGATTACGTTTTATTTATTTTACTTATAGTTAGCACCAACGTCAGGTAAAAAGGAAAAAGACTTAACATAAGATAAAAACCCAACAACACACTGAAGCGTGACTTACCTTCATAGTTAAACACGTAGTTTTCAACAAACAACTTATACCCCTTCTCAAGCTTTGAGCTGCTTGTAAGCGACATAAAAGAGGCTATCCGGGAAACATCTCCCATAGACATTTGGGGCAAATTTCGCAAACTCTTATAAAAACAAAAACATTTGGAATCCATTTTCACTCTACCGCTGTCAAAACACCGCACCGGAAGTTGTTTAACTCAGCTATTCTTTACTTCCGCATTCGTAACGTCTTCGTGAAATAGGCCTATTGCCATCACTATCTGGCAGAGGACTGAAGAAATGGGCAGGCTTAAATACAGAGGTGATGCTTGATGAGGGGCAGGTGTGCAGGCCAGCCAGGAACAGAGAGCAGGAATGGTCACGCCCACAGCAGCAGGAACAGGAGGGAGCGGGTGAGGAGCTCACAGGGAGCTCAATACCATAACATAGATTTTGTAGGATTACAAAGTCTGGTTATGTGGTCTGTATCGGGGCCCCCAAGGACTCTAATGCCTGGGGCCCCGGGGTACCCTTGGAACGCCACTGCACACAGGATAATAATAATAATAATCTTTATTTGTATAGCACTTTTAAAAAACAATGTTTACAAAGTGCTGCACTGTCAGCATAATATACAATACACCAGTCATAATACAAAGTCAAAATAATTGGATACAATAGATACAGGAAGACAAGAAGAAAGACACAACAACAACAAAGTGGACAGTAAAATACAAAATGGGAAGTTTAAAACTAGCAGTTGAAAGCTGTTTTATAAAAGTGGGTTTTAAGAAGTGATTTAAAAGAAGATACTAATGGTGCTAGCCTTATCTCCTCGGGCAGGTCGTTCCAAAGCCGAGGAGCCCGGACAGAGAAGGCTCGGTCACCTTTCGTCCGGAGCCTCGACCTTGGAACAGTCAACAGGGACCTGCCCGAGGATCTAAGGCTGCGGGTGGGCTCGTAGGGGGTTTAAAGTTCATAAATGTAGCTGGGTGCCAGACCTAAACGAGCTTTAAAAGTAATCAGTAAAATCTTAATCATTTCTAAAACGCACAGGGAGCCAGTGGAGGGACGCTAAAACACCCCTGTTTTAGCGTCCTTCCAGTGATGTGCTACCTTCTGTTAAAACCAGTGAGAAGTCTGGCTGCTGCGTTCTGAACCAGTTGGAGACGGGAGAGGGAATTGGAGTCGAGACCGGAGAGGAGGGAGTTGCAGTAGTCGAGGCGGGAGAGGATGAGGGCGTTAACTACTTCATGGAGATCAGGAGGAGTGAGAATGTTTTTTATCTTTGAGATGGTGCGGAGTTGATAGAAGCAGGATTGGGTGTTTTTTTATGTGGGAGCAGAAGGTGAGGTGAGAATCAAAAATGACACCAAGGTTACGGGCGGAGGGAGTGATGTTTGAGGATAGGGGGCCGAGGTGGGTTTGGATGTGGGATATTGATGGAGGCGGGTTGATGAGGAGGACTTCAGATTTGGAGGTATTGAGTTGAAAGTTATGGGCCATCCAACTTTTCACATAATCAAAACAGTCGACTTCCAGGGTCGCTTGGTCTCAGTGGGAGGTATATCCGTGTGTCGTCCGCATAGCAGTGGAAGAACACGTTATGGGCTATAACGTGTCCTAGGTGGAGCATATAAATAGAAATAAAATGGGACCTAAAATAGAACCTTGCGGCACAGCACAGGTAATGGAGGCTGTTGAGGAGGTAAAATGACTCATGGTGACCGCAAAGGTATAAGATAAGATAAGGATGAGAGCCTTTTGACTCCAAAACAAATTAGATTTACATGGTTTTCAATGGGAGTAAAACTGAGTTGTCCCATCTCTGCTCATTTGCCCCTTACAGGCCAGGTTAATGAAACCCAAGAATACTATCACAAATGGTAAGTCTTGCATTGCAACCTCTGAGCAATGCTGTTGGCTGCCATATTGATAAATTAGGAATATCCATCTGTATTTGTTCTTTTTTATCCTGTAATTATATGTGATGCTACTATCACATATCAACCATTGCTAATTTGTAAAACTAATAATAGCATTTTCACTCATTCGTCAAAAATTAAAACAACAACAAAGTTTGTGTAAACTCTCAGTCGTACAGGGATTAGTCAAAGTAATGGAAGTTTCCTCACCCGTCATCTGTACTTCTTAGCAGGTTTTCCTGACGTTTCGCCCTTAATTCAAAGAACTTTTTCAAGGGAATGAAATCTCAGACCGCGCATTGGAGATTTATAACCTATGGGTGTGGTTAGCCACACCCTAATCCTGATACTAACTCATAAACAATCTAAGGTCTGTTTGATGTAAATCAAAGTGAAAATCAATGACTGTTTTTCTGATGTTGTTTCTGTGAGCACTGGTTCTCCTCAGGGATGTATTTTGAGTCCTTTGCTTTTTACTTTGTACACTCACGATTGTGTGTCCTCCTCTGACTCAAACCTGATCATCAAATATGCTGATGACACCACCATCATCGGTCTCATCAGTGACAATGATGAATCCTCTTATAGAGCAGACATACAAAATGTGGTTCAGTGGAGTAAAACTAACAACCTCCAGTTGAACGCATCCAAAACATGTGAACTGGTCTACGACTTCAGTTGCAATAGTTCTCATTTGCCTGTCGTAATCGACAACTCCCAGGTGCAGATCGCAGAGGAGTGCAAATTTCTGGGTTTAACTCTGTCTAACGACCTGAAATGGGTTAAAAACACTGACTGAGTCGCTAAGAAAGCTCGTCAGCGTCTCTACTTTCTGCGTAAACTTAGAGAATTTACCACTAACTCTAAGATCCTGCTTAACTTTTATCGCTGCACCATTGAGAGTTTACTTGTTGGTTCTGTGTCTGTGTGGTTTGGAAACATCACAGATAAAGAAAAGAGAGCTTTAAACAAGGTGCTCCGCTCTGCAAAGAGGACCGTGGGCTGTGAGCTTCCTGTTCTGGAGGTTCTTTATAAATCCAGACTTTTAAACAAAGCTCTTAGGATTGTTAATGACTCTTCTGGCCATCTCTGGCAGAAGATATCGCTCTCTGAGATGCAGGACATCTCGTTACGCTAACAGTTTTTATCCACAAGCTGTTATCAGTGTGAACAGAGCACTTTAATGATTTTCACTTGTTTTGAACTGTTTTAGTCGATCGATTTCACAGTGACTTTTCTTTACTGTTTTATTTGTTTTATTTTTGTCTTTTACTGTATTTGTCTGTGCACACTGGAGACTTTTGCTAATGTATTCCAATGTGGTTTTTTACTGCAAATGGCAAATAATCTGAATCTGAATCTGTAGAAGGGAGCAGGTCTAACGACCCTGCTGAGGCTAACGATCCTAACTCAATAGCATGTCACAGACCTATTGTCTGCTGAGATTGCTCGAGTGGAGTGCAGGTCTCACCCCTCCTAAATCATTAACACGTCACTGACCTATCTATAGTTAGGGCCTTGTTTTTAGGACATGGTCATAGATGCGAGGCAAAACAAATCTTGACCTGCCTCCTCTGTTAAGAGTGGCTGTGAAAGAAGCCATTCTTGTGTAAAAAGTAAAAAAATGGCTTCTTTCACCCCTCTCTCAAACCAATTTTTGTCTCGAGCCAAAATTTTAACCTCTGTGTCGTTCACGGTGTGGTTGGTGGCCTTGAGGTGGAGTTGAGCAGCTGACTGTGGCTCACTGGAGTTTTCTCTACGATGTTGGTGAAGTCGTTTCTGTAGAGTTTGTTTAGTTTCTCCAATATAGTGGTCAGTGCACTCCTCTTCACTACATTTAATTGAATACACCACATTGCTCTGTTTGTGTCTTGGTGTTCTGTCTTTGGGATGCACCAATTTCTGTCTTAACGTGTTGAAAGGTTTGAAATACACAGGGATTTTGTGTTGCCTAAAGATTCTTTGTAGTTTCTCTGAAGCTCCAGCCACACTCCTCTCCTCCTACTTGCTTCTGTTTGTTAGACTGTGTCTCTGGCCTTTCTTGTCCTTTGGGCTAAAAGACCACTTGGGGTAGCTACATCTGGAAAGTGCTCTCTGAACATGTTTGGTTTCTCTGTTCTTTCCCTCCGAGCTTGTGGGGACCTTGTGGGCTCTGTGTTGGAGCGTTCTAATGACCCCAAGTTTGTGTTGTAGCGGATGATTTGAATCAAAGGCCAAGTACTGGTCAGTGTGAGTGGACTTTCTGAAAACCTCAGTCTGTAATTGTCCATTCTTGTGGCCATTTTGGATAGCTCCAGTAGAGCACACATTTTGGCACATTTGTTTGAACGGCGGAGATGGGCGTGACTACGTCAGTTCATATTTACAGTCTATGAGGTGAACACACAAACAGAAACACGGGAGAACAGAGAGAAACAGGAGAAACAGTGGTGGGCCGCGATGTAGCCAGTCCCCAGCTTTAGAGTGAATTCTGAGCATGCACCCTTGATGGGTGACAGTCTGACCCAAAAGCCACAGCCGGCTACAACGCGCTCGGACCCCAGCAAAGAGGGCGGCCAGACGCCAGAACGACAGGACAGCATGGCTATATAAGCAGGACTCTTGCGGGGCAACAGGGCCTCACCGCGGCACTGAAGCAAGAGAAGGCTGGTGCGACTCAACATCGGGGACGGAAGTGCAGACGTAAACAAAGACAAGACTAGAGGCCATTTGTACTGTCAGTATGCACCCTCTACTTGAAAGAATTATTGTGGCGAAGTCCAGCTTGCCGCATGTGGTATAATGCACAATGCGCAATGTGTTTGTGTAGCCACACACACATAAACTTGTGACAGCTTTGGTAAATATTGTTGTTGAAAGTGCTTCATAAGTCGGTAACTCTTGTGTTATCAAGAGCAACTGGGACAGTTTTGATCTACTGGTGTCTGATGTATATGGGGCAGGGTCTATTCATACTACTACAGGGATCTACATGCAAGTTCCTGGGTGCTTCAGAAACACTACCGTAAGTCTGGCGGTAGTGTCCCCCTCCCTTCTTCGTTGCAGGATTGGAACAGGTGTGCCGAAGGCAATCCGCAGCTGAGTTCACTCT